GCATTGCTGCTATCACCACTCTAACTGAGCAGGTCTTCAAGCAAGCCGGCTTCTGAGCACCTTTCACAGCCCCAAGCATTTCCAGAAAGTTTTGGAAAATTCCACACGCTCCAGCTAGCCATGCCAGGGGTGTGTAGCACAGCAAGATTCCTTGCGCTAGACTTTGTTCAGCGCATTGAAAAACTTGCTGTTCCCTTTGCAAAACTTTTCAGCCTCAAGGGAACCCTCAGCGTTTCCTTCTGTACAGCACACATGCTGCTACCACACCGCTGTGCTGCAAAGGCAGCTCCAAGGGTACAGAAGGGCAGAACGTCGTTGGTTCCTTAGTCTCAATCCTGACAAGACTATGCAGACGCCAAGTAAGCCACAGCTTCCGTAATCGTTCATAGACAGTTACTTACCCTCTTACCTTCTCTTGACGCGGCTCTGGACGACGGAACGTCGTCAAGAAAAGGTGTTAAGAACAGCACCGGAAACTGACGGCACCAATTTTCGTTCTTGGCTGTCGCGCGAGCAAAACGCATGGTGTACATGGGGTTCTACTGTCAGCAGAGTCATCGTCAAGGCTGCCTACATCCAGAGTCGCTCAACGTTTTGCCACGGTGGGGACACGTGACACATGATCAACGGCCATCACGTCCACCAACACCACCGCCACCGCCATCACCACTGCTCCTACTGGCCGTCGAGCATGTCTCAACCTCAACTTACCTCAATCATATCGGGTTTTTACCAGATGTTTCACTTATGCAGTGGAGAACTGCCACAACGACCATCACGAGAACCCCCTCCCTCTCCCCCCTCCCTCCCTCCTCCCCTCCCCCTCCCCCTCCCTCCCTCCCTCTCTCTCTCGCCTAGACTCCCGCAGAAACTTCAGTGCGCAGGAAGGTCCGAGACTGCCACTTCAAGCCAGCAGGCTTCAGCGCTCCGCTCAGCCAGCCTTCGCAATCTAGATCCTATGCAGACAGCCAGGAGCATGGGTTCTGCAAAGATATAGGGCGTCATGATCAGCCCAGCTCTGGTTCGAACTGGCTTCTTCATGTGTCCCCAAGCCGAAGCCAGGCCGGGAACAGGGCACGTGGACAGATGTGCAATGGCTTGTGCGGCTGCGCTGGTGCTGAACGCTTCACAGCCCTTGCCGCAAGAATCTGAGATGCCGCAGAACACACATCACAGTCCGTTCAAGTTTGGAGGTAAGGTTCTCGTCGTTCTTTCGATGTCTGGTGTATCGCAGGTGCAATAAGATTTGTCAATGCAGCGTGCATACCTGTGCTTATCCGCTCCTTTGCATACACACTTATGTCCAACACAGTTGTAGATCTGACCGTTCCCGCTGGCTCTGCGGCAAAAGCTTCTGCTTCAGCCATCTAGAAGGCGATTTGCCGAGCCAACCACTGGAGTGGTATTTCCGCTTCTTTGATCATACGAGTGCGAAATGCTAACCGTGGATGTCTGCGCATGCGGTCGATGCGAAGCTTAAATACAAGTAAGTAGTACCCTCAGCAAACCTAACATCTAGGAGAACCACTAAGACAGGACACAGGCTGATAGCCTGGCAAATGCCATGTCTGTTCTTACCAATGCAAGCTTGCTTTTGGTAGCACTCATCAGTCCGAATGTTGAGGCGAGGTGAAACGGATTCAGAAACGAACACATGGACCGGACAGAAGCCAAACAGAGCGGCAGAACTCAAGTGTGAGCCCAACATGCTGGCAGGAGTAAACAGCTGGCATCCAGTATCAGTTCCAATTCTAGTGCTCTTGCTTATACTAACACGGTCATGTAGCAACACTTCCTGCTCGCATGACAGATAGACTGTACGTGGCAGCAAATGTGCGAGATTCCATGCTACATTGGCATGGTTCTACAGCATGCAAGCAAACGTGCGTAGATTACAAGTGCATAGTTACGCATGGACATGGAGACAGACGTACATAGTGGGACAGGCACGCCGAAGAGTGATCGGCAATCTTGCATCGTTCCCTCATGTTGTGGGGCCACATCCCAGCTGAAGATCAATACTGGCCTCACTATGGCACTATGGCGAATCCACCCGACCAGCAAAAGGATTGCACGCAGCTCGAGGCTAGTCTTTAGTTTGGAAAGCCTGAAACAAGCAAGTCTGCCGGAGATTTTTCAAGGAGAGCTTCGACTTGGAGTCAGTTCTCACAACAGTACATCTCAAAAGGGACTCTCCCTGGCCAGCCTTTGTTTTACAAGTTACCTTTCGCCGAGGCCTTACCCTCTCAAGCACGAGTGCGGCGAATGCCAGGTGGGGGCTCCGTGCAGTTCAAGTCTACCAACCAGTAGGTAGGAATTTCGCGATCTGGGTTCAGGGCTCGTTTGAGCAAAGAGGTGGGGAACAAAGAGACAGCATGCGGCGTTTCGTTTGATATGAGCTTGACTATGAAGAAGCATGGCTCCCCGCAAGCGAGCCCAGGTCTTCTACGACCGCCTGGTGCTGCCTGCACGACACCCTTCAGCACGGTGCCTTTTGAAGGCCCGAGAATGCAACTGTGAGGTGACCACCGCTATGGCAGCTCATTGGTGAGGGATTGCAACGCAGTAGCATGATGGCGTGGTAGCACTGCGGCCAAGACAAACCTGAGTGTTGCACCAGCCTGAGATGAGGAACACGGATGCTAAGTAAGTTCCTTGTAAATTCTTTGGAGGACTGTCTACAACGATACGAGAATGCAGTAAACACAACAATAGATTGTGCCACTATGCTATGGAAGCATACGGGTTAAAGACCACTCCCCCCCTTTTGGAGCGCTGGAGTTAACATGCGGCTCACCGCATGGATCCTCAGAAGAGAGTATTGTAACAGCGACGGCAAGTCGCGTGCTACAGCCACGGAGAAAACCTTGTGAGTAAGAGAACCAGAATTCCAGTGCATTGGTTGCACGATGAACGCACCAAGAGCATTGCATTGCTTGGGCAGCAGCAGAACATAACAGTTTGATACGAGGTAGCGAAGTAGTGCGAGGATGATGCAATCGCAGACTGATAAAACCATGAAAACGTTGATAGTGCAAGAACCGGTTCACATGATAGCACACTCTAGTGGACATGTACCTAGTGGCCCTCAAGACCTGGGTGTTGTAATCCACCAACAGGGCCAGGCCAGGCAAAAGTACGGTTGAAAGCATGCAGCAGTCGAGCAGAGGTGTGCTGGAATGCCAGGCTCATATCGCTGCAGCATGAACATGTAAGTTTCGATCCATGCAAGATAGCAGTCAGGGCGAGTTGCCTTACTGCGGTATATGATCGACGAGTCCATGACAATATGAAATGTTCCGTGGTGGTTTGCATGTGCACTTGTCCACAAGTCTGAGATCGTTGTTGCGGCTCCTTGGCGCAGACTTTCGATCGTTCCGCAAGGAGTCATTGCCCAGACACTGCACAGGGCCTCGTATCTGTGGGAGCAGTGTTTTTCTGTTCGAAGCATCAACAACCTGACCTGAAGGCACAGCGCCAGCCCATTGAAGCGGTGGACGCTGAGGGTGCGATGGCGAGCCTGCAGAACGGCCCCTGAGACGGAAAGCTCAGTTTGGGGGTTTGCACAGCCAGAGGGCTTTGAGTCAAGGTCACGTCAGAAAGGAATTGGTGCAGCACATGCTGCGCTGTCGCCAAAGGTCAGGCCTGGTCTCGAGAGCACTCTTGTCTCGCAAGTTCGGTTCTTTTTTGAAGCCTGATGAGCCACATCCGGTTCAGCATTTCCGCGGTTTGCTCTAAGAGGGTCTTGCTGTCGCAGGGCGACTCTTCTGGAGCATGAAGTTGCGAGGCAGATCGGCTCCCGACGTGCTTCTAGTTGCCGGTGAGATTCAGGCAAGTGACTAGTGACTAATGTGTTGCGTACGCCTCTGTTCTCGTGATTTCTGCGATGCTAACGAAGGCAACTGTTTTACATGCCTGCAATGGGGGCCAGAGCTTGTCAGGCGGTCTTAACTAAAGGAAGTGCAAGAGCTAGCATGCCACTGGTTGGAAGACTCGGTTTATGGGCCCACCCGATTGCAAGGACACGCGGCGGTTGTTGCTGTTGCTCAAAGCTCGCATCCGCTTCTTCAAGACCCTGCTCTCCTCTCAGGCCTCGTGACGTCGCTCAGACCGGAGCAGCTCATAGAGGCAACGCGGACCATGCAGCCAGATGTTTAACCTTGCCGCAGTTTATGCGCCACAGATCTGTTGCAGGGAAAGGCGCGAGAGGCATTGCTTTTTCGTTGTTGCTTAGGAAATACATCGAGCTGGAAGTTTGCCTTTCTGCTTTGCATGACGCGGGACAGCTAGAGGTGTTGTATTGATGCAGGCATTCCTTCTTTGCGCACCATCACCGCGCCTGGATTTCATTGCACCACGCTGGGTTGCAGAGGATTGTAGCACAGGTAAGCCACCTTTCGATTTGATGAGTGTCGATTGATGAGTGTCGATTGACTAAGGTATACAGTACACACATATTGTATATGTGAAATTTGTTTTCGCTTGATCGTTTAGCAGGCATGTACGAAAGCAGACATACTCATTTAAGCAGGCATGTATGCACGTATGTATGCATGCGTGCATGTTTGCATGTTTGCATGACGCTCGTATATAGATATTTGTGTATGTGTACATGTGTGTATGTAACTATGTACGTATGTGTACGTGTGTATATATATATACATGCATTTTACCTATTTACATATGTACATGTATGTATGTATGTATGTATGTATGTATGTATGTATGTCTCTCAGTCTGTCTATCTGTCTGTCTGTCGGTCTGTTTGTCTGGCTGTCTGTCTGTCTGCATAGGCTGTAGCCACAGACAGTGACAAAGACTACCTGATGCATCGGATCTGAAAATATGTCCATATATAGCTAGAGTACGCTGGCTTGTTCCGTCAAACGGTTCTCACTACAAGAGGCAGATTGGTCTCTTGACCTGCCCATCAATCGCATGTGGGGATCCAGCACTGCTGCATAATTGTGTAAAGGCTAGACTGAAGTCCAGAAGCTGAGGTGCTCCTCGGCAGATGCCAGCGTGCCTTAGCTTGTTCACGACGAATCAGTGCTTCACGATGGTGTCGTCAGGTGCACAGCATACGGCACAACCTTGCTGTCGATACCGAAACGTGTTCCTCCCTTTGGCTGCAGATTTGCATGGTTGACAGTGCGCAGTTCCCGAAGTATACTGTACCAGGAACTCACACTTTGCGATGTCGTACCAGTGATCGTTGCTGCTGCGTCAATATCAATAGTAATAAGGGAGACAGAGACATGAGCTGCGACTACAGTCTTCTTGAAACGGCGACATGTTCAAAGATCGGCGCAGCAGTTCAGCCGGCAGTGCGAAGCACGGCCAGTTGGCAACTACTGTCTTCAAACCCCTCCACTAAAATGGTGCTAGGTTGGTAGATTTGAGCTGGAACGCCTCTCGAGGCACTTAGCACTACGAAGTGCCAAAGAAAACATCAAATCCAAATCCTAGGCGTGGCTGGCATCGACATACTTGGCAGGCAACTGCGAAGATAAGTTTGTGCAGGGGATTCGACCAAAGTCAGGGTTTGCTTTCTATGCTAGACACGCTCCGGCAGACGAACGAGGGCTTCTATCTGCCGTGGAGTAGCTAAGATTTTGGCATATCCTCACTAGCTTTCGTTTGAGCCTGTCTCAAGTCCTTAGAAACAAAAGCAAGGAGAGCTCAACATCGTATACATGAACACGTGATGGCAGTGTACATAAACACATACCGGCACCTCCCACGCCAAAAACCTTTGAGTCTTCCGTTCGAGTTTGCCCAGCATGCCATGACTCCGCAACACCCAATCCTTCAGAGCCACCTAACGCTTTTGAATGAACTCCGCTGTCGGGATCTCGAGCCTCAACTCTGCCGGAGCTGAGGGGACAGCCGCGCTGGCATGTTCCGTCCTGCAGCACCGCAAGCCAGCTGCGCAGGTGGCCTTCGGGGATTGGGAGCTTTGGGCCAAGAATGTGTGGTGCGGGGGCTTGTGTTCAGGATTAAGCACATTCTACAATGGCGGCTCATATTCATGTATTCTGCTTCTGTGAATGAGAGTAAGACGTTTAACAGCAAGGTGCAGTCCATGCTGTCGCCCTGTATCAGAACATGGCAGCAGAAGGGCTCCCATCTGCAATTGCAAAAGGGCGGAGGTGCAAATGTTGGTTACACGGGTTCAGGATCGAGCTGGAGCTGCAGCATGTCCTCAAGTCCATGAGCTCACTGCTCGACTATGCATGGGACAGCCAGCAGCACAGGCAATGGCTTTCTGGAGGTTCCACCACGACTCGCTTTTCCAGCAGAGTCGCAGGAAGGTGGGTAAGAAGAGAAGGGATTTTCGGCTTGGGACTGCAAGGGCCCCACTCCGGGAAGGACAGGTTCGGCAGATCGCTTTGGCGGAGGCTGCAGATGCTGCTCATCTGGGGTACACATCATCATCTCGTGTGAGGCCGCACATGTCGGCGCAATGGTGATGTTCACAAAGGTAGATTGTGATCACCTGGCAGACATGTGCACCACATGTATTGCAGCCTCCAATGTAAACTTTCATTCATGCCCAAACGCTTTGCCAGCCATCGCCGATCTGCTGCGTGAGATTGCACCGCCTCCAGGAATGAGCACCTCGGCAAAAGCAGGCTAATCTTGATGCTAATTGCTGCTTGTGTTGGGTCCGGTAACATCTCAACTGTTGGACAGACTAGTCTCCTCAATCTTGCGCACTATTTCCTACCCGATGCGATGCGATCTGCTCTTGCATTTCCATCCAAGCTGCTCAATGGTTTTGGGGTCGGGTTTTAGGTCTACAACCGTGGCTATCAGGGATACCAAGGATTGCGACAAGGGTTTTATAAGGGCATACAAGAAGTGTTTAGGGTTTTGATGTTTTAGGTTTTAGGGTTTGGGGCCTCGGGTTTCGAGATGTTAAATTTCGGGTCGAGGGTTCTTAGTGGTTTAAAGTTTAGGCTAGGTTGGCAGTGGGGAACGTGGCTAAGACAAGCCTACGATGTGACGACTCATTCTGCTGCTGCCGCTGCTGCTACTGACGCTACTCCTGATCCTACTCCTGCTCCTCCTACTCCTCCTCCTCCTCTTATTACTACTACTACTACTACTACTACTACTACTACTACTACTTCTTCCACTACTACTACTACTACTACTACTACTACTACTACTAGACTACCACTACCACCACTACCACTACCACTACCACTAGTACTGGCAGCGCTGCTACGGCTATGGCTTCGAGTACGCCTGGAACTGCTACTACTACTGCCTCTGCTACCATTCCCTGACTTCGGTCGGTCGTTGCAATCGCTTCACACGTGCTACTGCTACAACCACCACAACGTCCACAACTACCAACACCACAATCGGCCAGCACCAGTGCATCCGTTGCTGCTGTCGCGTGCCTGTTGCCTGTCTGCTACTGAGAGCACTGTCTTACCTCCCTGCTACAGCTAGCAGTAGCAGCAGCAGTGGAAGCAGGAGCAGAAGCAGTACTGGCAGCAGTAGGTAGCAGTAGCACGCTTGCTTATCGTTAAAATGTGTTGTTGCTAGAGCCTGGACTGCAACAAGACACACAGAGTGCTCGCGTTTGGCGACGCACTTAGGCAGAACTCGCAGAGTTGTGTTTTATTGTTGCTACTGTTCTTCTTCTTCTTTTTCGTGGTGCTGCTGCTGCTGCTCCTGCTGCTGCTGGCGCTGCTGGTGCTGGTGCTATTGCTGTTGCTGTTGCTGTTGCTGTCGCTGCTGCTGTTCTGCATAGTGGTGGTGGCGCCAGCGTTGGTGGTGGTGGTTGCGGTTGTTATTTGTCGCCTCCGCAGGAGCAGAACCAGCAACTAGCGCAGAAATCGCAATGGTGGATGCAGTGGTAGTAAAATTGCGCGTGGCAGCAAGAGTGATGGCAGCCATGCTTGGCTTGGCACAATATCCAGGACCGTCCATCATGAGCCATGGACCAGGACCGCCGATGTGTGCTGAGTGATCCTGGGGCTTTATTGCATGTGCTCGGGCTGTTGTCCACTGCTAGCGCATCAGGCCTGCGACCTGATATTCACTGGAAAACAGGATGGCACCTAAAGTTTAGTTCCAGGGCGCCTGTTGACGACTTCCGGGAGTGGGGGGTGTCCACGACAAGAACGAACACAGCCAAAGGCATGGCACACATGGCAGGCATACAGTGGCAGAACCATTGTTTTGCACTTCTTGTCCAAACCACAAATGATAGTCTTTTGGCAGTCCTTTCCAAACGTATCCAGACCACTGCAAGTTCGTTCGGGTGCCCCTTGGACTTTCAGGACATCCCTTGGCCGGTCAAATATCTTTTTTCGTGACTCCCGGCCGCTCGGCACGGCGTCAGTTGCAACTCGGGAGTGCCCTCTTGCATGCGGCTGGCGAGGCTTCAGTGTGGCTGGTCGTGAGATCCTCGAGCCACCGGGCAGCTGCCAGCGAGGTTCCATGGTATCAAGTATGGTGTCGAAAGAGGCAAAGCCTTTGGACATGGGTGTTTTGTTTCGCTGGTGTCATTGCCATCCTGGTGGGCGTTTGAAGAGAGTTCCCCTTCGAAGCCTACTCCATCAGCTGTCAGACTCTGATAGGCCTCCACTCAAGGAGCCCTAAACTTGAGCGAAACCAAGAGGCCTCATACCTTTTGACCGTAAGCCGCAACTGCTGTCCACGGTCTCTGATCCCCTGCCTGTGGAGGCACCGCTGCCCTCTTCGCCGGTGCCTGGCGCTTCTCCGAGCGAACAGCCGCCGGTGGCTGGGTCAAGCATCATTCAATCAAAAGTAGCAGCTTGTGCGGCGATCGACAGCTAGCTCTGCAAGAAGCCAAACAAAAATTGCGACAAATAATCGTTCATTCAGATTCACGCCCAGCTGTAGCAGTTCACTTCGGGTTGCTAAGACATGGCTAAGGCATCCACCGCCATTTGCTGCGACCGCTTCGCGTGCCCTGCACCTGACAAGGACCATCACCAGGATCCTAATTAGCATCGCCGTCATCATGCTTGCCATGCTCATGGCCATAATCATGACGTCGATGCTGTGCGCTCTTTAAGTTTTTTGTTGCTGCTGCTGCTGATGCAATGTTTCAGCGCCTACTACTGCTGACACTGCCGCTGTTGCTCCTGCTACTCCTCCTACGCCCCCTCCGACTTCTTATCCCTCTACCACTACGACCACCACCACCACTACCACTGCCACTTCTACTGCTTATTCTGCTCCTCCGCCGCCTCCTCCTTTTCCTACTGCTACTGCTACTGCTGCTACTGCCACAGCCGCTGCTACTACTGCTGCTACTGCTACTGACTGCGGCTGCTGCTGCTGCTCTTACACTCCTACTTCTACTCGTAGTACGAGTACCAGTACCAGTACTAGTACCGGTGCTAGTACTAGCAGTAGTAGCAGTAGTAGTAGTAGTACTACTACTACTACTACTACTACTACTACTACTACAACTATAGAACTACAACTACAACATCTACTACAACAACAACAACAACTTCTACTACTACTTTTACTACTACTACTACTACGACGACGACGACTACTACTACTAGCACCACTACTACTACTACTACTACTACTACTACTACTACTAGCACCACTACTACGACGACGGCGGAGGCGACGACTACGACTATTATTGCTACTGCTGCTACTACTGCTGCACCACAACGA